TAGTATAAATACAACTACACACACACATATATATATATATATATATATATATATATTGGTTGGCATAGTTATACGCACAAGTATATTGGCATTTTCGTACACCATTTCTCGTTTACTCAGCGGTACATACACATATATATGTGCATTTGCATATCCACCATTCTTGTGCACATAGCCAATCAAACATATCCAGTCACTCGTATACACTCATATACCATATGCATCGTGGGCCTGGGGTATAGCCACAGTCACACACCTTTTCTGGGCGTTGATATCTGCAGTGAGTTGTGTGACCATTCCCTCGGCCGTACTGCGATGTGCCTTCGTCGTGGTACCACATACATCCATTCGTCCCTGTCAAGAGAGAGGTGTCGTATGAGATAGAGGCGTAGTACGACATACATCCACTGGCCCTTATTAAGAGAGTGTGTCGTATGAGATATAGGCCCATGAGCTTCCCATCCTTGACGTGTGTTCAGTATAGTAGTGATTGCGGGGGCTTTGTGGGGTTGATGGCGGAAGTCGAGAGTGGTATTTACGCATACATCGCAAATCAATGGGCAATGTGCACGTCCATATCTAAATTCACATCCGTAGACTGTGGACCGTCACAATAGAACAACCACGACCCAATTATAAACATATGACACTCACCAAACCCTTATACAACCACATCCACCCTCACACGCACTAGGAATGGTCATGTCATGCCATCCTTCCACACCGACACCGACACCGACACAAGAACATACAAACACACACTCTAACATACACACTCACAAACACACTCACAAACACACACACGAAAACAAAAGGCATAAAAGCCACAGTCTCCAAGTCTTTAACAGCCATTTGACTATACTCGAATCCATGCATACACACACACACACTAGCATACACACTCACGAACACACACACGGAAACAAAAGACTTACAGCCACAGTCTCCAAGTCTTTGACAGCCATTTGATTATACTCAAATACATAGACACTCTCTCACACACACTAACATACACACACAAACACACACCCTAACATACACACTCGCAAACACACATACGAAAACAAAAGACATACAGCCACAGTCTCCAAGTCTTTGACAGCCATTTGATTATACTCGAATACACACACACACACACACTCACACACTAACATACACACACAAACACACTCCCTAACATACACACTCACAAAAATACAAACGAAAACAAAAGACATACAGCCACAGTCTCCAAGTCTTTGATAGCCATTTGATTGCACTCCGCTGACGCGTCTTCATACGCCGTCAAATGCTCATCCGCTGTGCAACGGTTAAGGGCATCGGCAAACAGCGTGTTAACGGGAACAGCAGTGATAGAGTGGTAGGTAGTTGGAGATTTAGTGGTAGGTAGGTATAAATTGGTGTATACTTAGTAATATAGTGATGGGTAGTTATGCAGTAAGTGACAGAGCGGTAGGTAGATATAAATTGGTGTATACTTAGTGATTTGGTATATACTTAGTAATATAGCGATGGGTAGCTAAGTAGTTAGCGATAGAGTGGTAGGTAGTTAGTGATAGTGGTAGGCAGCTAGTAATTTGGTGTATAATTAGTAATATAGCAATGGGTAGTTATGTAGTTAGTGACAGAGTGGTAGGTAGTTAGTGATAGTGGTAGATAGCTAGTAATTTGGTATATACATAGTAATATAGCGATGGGTAATTATGTAGTTAATGACAGAGTGGTAGGTAGTTAGTGGTAGTGGTAGGTAGGTATAAATTGGTGTACACTTAGTGATTTGGTATATACTTA